GGGCGGGGAGCAAGGCAGGCCGGGGAGCCTCTCGGGAAGGAAGGAGAGATGCCTCCTAGAAGGTGGCATCCCACCAGGATGGAAGAAAACATAGAAAACACATTTTTTTCACAAATTTATTCTAGGAAAATCAGATGCTGTTTTCTTTCTTTTTGGGAAGGAGGGAAGTGTAAGGAGACAGGAGGTTTGTTAAGATTCCCCAGTAAGAAGCTGCTATTAGTTTGAGTTTCTTGGCTATTTTTTTACTGATCTGATATGTTGGGTGTCTTTTCTCACCATGATGTTATTATTTCTCTTCTTTCCTGTGGAACTAGAAAAACAACATTTGCCACTGCGTCCCCCCAAAATCTAGATTTGACGATGCTCAGTCAAATGCAAAACAACCCTTCGGGGTGACCCCTGAAAGGCACTGGGGCCGGAGAAGCCTCGTGTGTCCGGGTGCACCCCAAAGCCCCTTCCTGGCGCCCGAGACCCGGTGCCTCCGAGGGAGTCGGGAGCTGTGAGCAGAAGCCTCCGGGAAGTGGGGGGAGCAGGGCCCCGGGCCGCCCCGGCCACAGCCTGCTTCTGTAAGCGAAGCTTAGTGGCACCAGCGGGACCACACTCTCGCCCACGACCATTTAGCCCACCACGTGGCGGAGGAAGCCGCGGCGCGGCCCGACAAACAAAGCCGAGACTATCATCGCGCGACGGCCTTTTCCACCTTGGTTGCAGGAAGCCCAGGGAACATTCGACGACCCCGTACCTGGGAACACGCCAGACAGTTACGGCGGGTCTTCTCCGGGGCCCAGCGCCCTCCAGGCGTGCATGTGTCCGAGGCCCCGCACCAGTCCAGCGTGTGGCCAGCTCTGAGAACGGGGAGCCAGGCGCGCAGAGGGGCATGGCGGGCTGCAACCCAGAAGCCTGGCCCGTGCCTCTGCCCGAGGGTCCGCTCCTGGGCAGGGCTGCCGCCTCGGGACCCAGCACGGGAAGAGACACACACCGGCCCCCAGGGAGCCCCGCCAGGCGGCACCTCCTGCCCGCCCGCGCCCACGGCCTGGGGGCAGGGCCGTGCCGCACCTCTGACTCTCCCACGGCGGTGCCCAGGCCTCAGCCCCCACAGGTGGCCTCTGCCTGCTCTCCTCTAGGGCGCTGACTCCTCTTTATTGAGGTGCAGTAGGCTAACCACACCAGGGCCCCAAGTGTGCGGTGCCTCACCTCTGCGGCGGTTGCCGCCACACGGCGCAGGCCCCGAGTCCCGTCTCCTCCCGCCCACCAACCGCCACTGCCGCCGGCCGCAGCCTAAAGGCCTTTCCTGTGTTTCTTCTTCTGTTTTTGCTTCGTTTACCTTCTTCAAATGAATGCGATCACGGGCCT